GGGAGGGTGATGGCGTATAGTGGCAACTACTATGAGGAAAAATAATCAGGATACAGAAATAAAATGTGATGGGGGTAGTAGCTGTTTTAGATGGGGTGGTCAGGGAAGACTTCTCGGAGGAGATGACATATGAGCAGTTAATAAGCAAGAGAGTGACTCCATTTCTACAATTCTTTCTGATTTTATAGTTTCTACAGTTATATGTTATATATTTATATTCTTTGACAACTTTTTCATCCCTACAGTGTTTAGTTTTTTAGTGTTTGTTATTTTTCTCAGTAATGAGTCTGACAGTGTAAGTAATCAGCAGATTTGAATGCTTATACTATCACCTTTATTAGCAATACAATCTGTAAATGAACTTGTGGATTTCAGACTTCAAGGAAGTGTTAAAGGCAAGGTTTCACTTTGACGTTGAGGAAAATAATTGTTGTATGTAGTTGCTTAAATTTTAATTTATTTTTCAGTTTAGGGAGAGTGAGATAAGTCAGACTAATTTGGTCAAAAATAAACAAGAAAACAATACTTACCTTCATACATGTAGAATTTAGGGAACTTCCAACCCACCTTACCCTTTCTTCTCCCTCCTCACCATTCCCCGTGTTTAAACTTTTCAGTTTATCTGTACTGGAGTCAATCTTTAAAAAAAAAAAAAAAAAAGTCCTGATGGCACAGCGGTTAAGAGCTCAGCTGCTAATCAAAAGGTTGGCAGTTCGAATCCACCAGTTGCTTCTTGGAAACCCTATGGGGCAGTTCTCCTCTGTCCTGTATGGTCACTATGAGTTGGAATTGACTCCACGACTCCACGGCATGAGTTTTTTGTTTTTGTAGTCAATTTAAAAAAAAAAAAATATATATGTATATGTTTCTGGGTTATTTATGTCAAATGTTAAACTTCAGGTAATTTCCCCATGATGCCCATCATATTTAGGGTGCAACTTTTACAGTGTCTTCTGGTTTGTGTTCAAAGAACAGAAGTTTACTTAAATACCAAATTAAGCTTCTGCAGAGAAAATTTAAAATGTCATATTTTTCAAACAGAGTAAGTATTATATATTTTGGGGGGGAGCATTGGCAGGAATCTGTGGCCTGAGTCCCCCTCCTTAGTGTAATTGAAAATGTTTCTTTGTAAAATATCAACATCACTAAATTCGAAAATTTCCCTTCATTTTTCTTTTGCCATTGGAATTTTCCTAGATAAACAATAGGATGTAAAAGAGTTGAATGAATTGCGAAGTATGGATCAGTTGATGTCTTCATTTTATTTTTTAAATTTCTTCTCAAGTCATTAACATCAAAGTCAACAAAAATAACTTTAAGATTAAGTCTAATTTGTCCCTTCTGGAACCTGTCAGTCAGGGAACCTGTCAGTCCTGCTCTTTCACATTGCCAGGGCAGAATTGTGAAAGGCAATTCAGTGTCTCATCTGCGTGGTTCAGCCTGCCATCACATCCTGCCTCCTTCAGATCTTGGGAGTAAGAGACATGCCACATTTTGCCTAAAGCTTCTTTTTCATTTCTTTGTCCCTTGCCCATCTTGGTTAATGTTAATAGACTCTTTTTTTTACTTTTGATTATTACTTCCTCCCCTTCCCACCACACACAAGAGAGAATAGGTGATTCATGGGAAAAGAAGAGTTATCAAGAGTATTACTGAACTTTAGGAAATGAAGATGGAATACTAACCATAACATTTGAGAGCATTTTCTGAATGTGAAGCATTGTGCTAGATGACCTCAAAGGAACACTCTAGTTGGAGTGGTAGAGCATCAACAAAACAGAAGAATCAGAGTGTTTATCATTTTGGGGTTTTAATTTTCGTAGAATAGCATAAGAGAGAAGAACATTGAATAACAGTGAACAGGAAAAATAGCAGAAGGAGAGAGCTCTACGAGGTAATGAGAGGCTAAGGCTCAGTGTTTGAAAATTACTGACTTACGGGAAAGTAAGTGTTTAAATAAGAAAGAAAAATTATTGGCCCTAGATTTTGTAGTCTGTATGTGTGTGTGTGAGAGAGAGAGGGAAAGAGAGAGATTTACCTGAAAATGCTAGAGTTGTGTGAAAAAAGTGATATGGTTGAGTGATTGGCAGGTAGTATGGAAGTTATATACTGGAGTGTTCATGTATCTGAGTTTTGACATTATTGATTCATATTTTCATTCAACAAATTTTTTCATAACCTTTCTCATGCCAGGTCCTGATCTAGGCACTGGAGATACAACAATGAATAAAGCAGACCCTACCCTCATGAAGCTTAAACCATGGGAGAAGACAGACAGTAATAAGTAAACAAATACATCAAATGTTAGATGGTAATAAATGCCATGATAAAGTAGGATAAGGGAGATAGGGAGTGCTTGAGATGGTCGGGAAGAAAGGCTTTACTGATAAGGTGACATTTGAGCAAAGACTTGAAAAGGATACCTGAGGAAAGAGCATTCAGGAGAGCATGCTTGGAAAGTTTGAGGAATAACAATGAGGCAAGTGTGGCCAGAGGAGAGGAGAGTAGAGGAAATGATGTCAGAGAGATACCAGGTCTTGGACATTGTAAGGACTTTGGATTTTACTTCAGCAAGATGGGCATCCATTAATGTTTTGAGCAAAAGAGTGACTCTTTAAAAGGAACCCTTTGAAGGAATTCAAAATAGACTTGAAAGGGAGACAAAGATAGAAGAAGCAGGGAAACCAGTTAGGAGGCTATTTTAGTAATTCAGACAGTGAGATGATGATGACTTGGACTAGAGGGGTAGTGATGAGATGTGTGAACATCGATTTTGATATTCAAAATATAAGGGATTCTGAAATTTTTTTTTAGTAGAAAAAAACATAGGGACCTTATTATTCCCAACACAAGGGCAGGTCTTTGCAGGGCGGCAGGAGGCAGTTCTGGGGCAAGAACAGGCCACTGCTTGCCGGCAATGAGTGGGTTCCGAAGGACCATGATGACTGAGTGCCCACGCAGGAACATGTTGGAAATGTAGCGGTCCTTGTTAACGGGCTTGGACTTCTTGCCCTTGCAGCTCTTGGGGACCTCAGTCCACAACTCCTTCACGTTCTCCAGCACCATGTTGCAGTGCCGTTCAGAGGCCTTCACGTGGCCCAGGAGCTTCTTGTTGCGACAGTTGATGATAACTTGGGTGTTGTTCTTGACCGACTGCTCTTGATCGACTGTGTGAACATGGAGAGGAGCCCTGTGTTAAACTCCTCCTCCTCCCTGCAGTTCCTCTGGGGTCATCTCACTCTTGGGCTTGTTGAAGAGGCTCATGGTGCTGGCTGCATTCTCAGGTCACTCCCGTCTCTGCGTTGCTTCTGCCTCTGAATTCATTTTTGAAGGTAGAACCAGCAAGATGTGCTGAAGGGTAGAATGTGAGGCTTGAGAAAAGGGGAGTCAGAAGATGACTCAAAAGTATTTTGACTGAGCAGCTTCATAGGACTGTTGAGAAGATTTACTGAGCCTTGAAGTGGACAAAGGAAGCACTTAAAATGACAATTTAATTACAACTATTATACATAATTATAGTAAAAAGCAGT